TATTTATTTTTGCTTTTTGGGTCACACCTGGCGATGCTCAGGGGTTACTCCTGGCTCTGCACTCAGGAATTACTCCTCGCGGGGCTCAGGGGACTATATGGGATGCTGGAATTCGAACCCCGGGTTGGCCGTATGCAAGGCAAACGCCCTACCCGCTGTGCTATCACTCCAGCCCCTCTACGTGCACTTTAAATTCATGCTCTCAACTCCATTTAGTTAGAGAAGACCATGGCTGTTCTGAGATCTTAAATCTTTTCCTAAAATCGCCCTGATCTAGTTTCCAGATTCAGACTCTGCTTCTGGACTCAAAAGCTCCAGTTCTATTTCCGGTGCAGAGGGCAGGTAATTATTTACACTTTACAAAGTTCATTGTCGATAAACAATGCCTTCTGGTTTGAGGACAAAGACAGTCTTTTCAGAGACACCTAGGCTTGAGTCAGGAAGAATTCGAGAGACACCCCCAACACGCATACTCCTTGACCCCAACCTGTATCTAAAACCACAGAGCTATTACAAAAGGTTCAAAACCCCTTTGATCATCCAACCTGCTCTGTTTGCAGACTCTTATCCTCCATTATTCACCAGTCAGAGTTGAGCTATTTCCTTTTGAGTTGTTTGTATTCTTTCCTAGCCCTTCTTCCAAGAAAAATAACAATGCAATGTTTGACATCCTGCCTTTAGACTGAAGAGATATAGTACAGCATATGCTTGCCTTGCACACAGCCAACCTGGGTTCAATCCCCAGCATCCCATTTGGCTTCCCAAGCACCACCAGGAATGATTCTTGAGTGTAGAGCCTGGAGTAACCCCTGAGCATCACTGACTGTGGTCTCCAAACAAAAAAACAAACAAACAAAAGACACTTCCGAACTAAGCAACCTCTAGCATGTCCTGATTCCCTCCCACCCAGCAACCCTTCAAAGCCGAAATAAACCCTGGGTACAGCCAGGTCTGACTCGAAACCAATAAAGAAAAAGCCCCATCTGAGTTTCCAGAACACCCAGCCTTGGGCCTGCCCTGGAGATGTGTCCCTAGTACTAAGTGTGAGGTTGGAGGAGGAAGAAGTATGAGAGGGACCTCCTGCAAGCTTGGTGCAAGCTGACGCAGGATCAGCTCATAGGAAAATCTTCCACATCTGGGTGCCTGGAAGCTCCGGGTAGCAGGTGTGGGACAAACTAGTGCAAATTCTCTGAGACATTAGGGGCAGGATGTGTGGAATCCAGGGCCTCTCATGTACAAGAGAGGCTAGAGCTTCTCTTGCTTCTCTTGGCTGGAGGTGGCTTCAGGCCATGTCCCGGGCTCTACTATTTTTCTTGAGCAGAAAGCAGAACTCTTCACAGGTTCTCAGTGGAGGCACTGCAACTCCCCAGAAGATCAGTGGTGAGGTAGCTAGAGACCCCATGACAAAGAGTTTAGGGAAGTAATAAAACTGAGATAAGATCAGGCACCAGCCCCCTATGAAATGACTCAGCAGGAATAAGGCCTGATAAAACTAAAGGACAACCAGGATTTCCAGCCCCAAATGGAGAAGGCAGGTTTCCCCTCACGAACAAATCACCTGAAAGAAGACATCCAGGAGGTCAAAGCCCTATCCCCCTTTTTTGGGGGCGGGGGGGGGAGCACATTTTTCAGCACTCACTCCTGGTGGGGCTGGGGGGACCATATGGGGTTCCAGGAATCAAACTGGGTTGGAAGACAAACACCCTACCTGCTATACTATCATTCTGCCCCACCCCCACTTCCCTGTGGACAACACCCTAGGGATAGCTCTTATCTACACAGAAAACTCCAGGCCTAGAGAACTCACATGAAAGGGATTTCTCCTCTCTGAAGATGCTCACATTCTTCTGGTATATCTTTCTTTTCTCCATCCCTTTTATTATTTTATTCTGACTTCTGGGCCACACTGGAGGTGCTCAGGGCTTACTCCTCTCTACATACAGGAATCACTTCTGATGGGGCTCATAAAGTGGACCATATCCTGTATCAGATAATGAACCAATTTGGTGCAATTTAAATGCCTTTATCCTGTAGTAGGATTTTTCTGACCGGCTTCTAAAACTTTTGTTTTTGGGTCACACCCAGCATTGCTTGGGAATTACTTCTGGCTCTGAGCTCAGGAATTACTCCTGGCAGTGCTCAGGAGACCATCTGGGATGCTGCAGGGGATCAAACCTGGGTCAGCTATGTGGATGGCAAAAACACCCACCTGCTGTACTCAGACCCTAGGTCCCCAGGCCCTCTTTTTTTCTTTTTCCTTTCTTTTGGGCCACACTCAGCAATGCTCAGGTCTTACTGCTGGCTCTGTACTCAGGAATCACTCCTGACAGTGCTTGGGGGACCCTATGGGATGCTTTGTCATGTGCATGGCAAGCACCCTACCCACTTGCCTCTCCAACCTCCCTCTCTGACCCTCTTCTTAACTTTTATTATTTCCTACAAGTACATTATCTGTGCTGCCCTAATGATTGACCTGCAATCCTTCCTTCCTTCCTTCCTTCCTTCCTTCCTTCCTTCCTTCCTTCCTTCCCTCTCCCTCCCCAAAAAAAAGATAGGGGAACCTGGTAACACTGCCTGTAATCTAAACCAGCCCCAAAACATTAATTTTACATGTTGCAAGAAAAATTTTGGGTGATATGTGCTAGCAGTCTTCTTTGTAGTGATGCAGGGATTGCTAATCAGGATTGCTGTCCTTAGCGATCTGGGTCTGGGTACTAGGTTTATCTGACCTGCAGAGGAAAAAATTAAAAAATGAGGTGCTGAAGACATAATACAGTAGGCATGCTATTGACCTGGGTTCAATCCCTGCATCCCACAGGGTCTGCTGAGTCCTACCAGAAGTGAGCCCTGACAGAGGGCCAGGAGTAAGCCCTGGCACTGCTGGGTGTGGCCCAAAAGAAAGCAAAACAAACAAGAACAACAAAAAGAATTCAAATATGAGTCAGAAATATAGAAAAGTGGGGCTGAAGCGACAGCACAGTGGGTAGGGCATTTGCCTTGCACGAGGCCAACCTGGGTTCAACCCCCAGCATCCCATATGATCCCCCAGCACTGCCAGGAGTAATTCCTGAGTGCTGAGCCAGGAATTGCCCGGTGTGACCCCAAAAAATAAAAACAAAAACAAACAAACAAAAAAGTGTACCAGGAGTCTTCTTGTTATTTGTTTTGGGGTCACACTCAATGGTGGTGCTTCAGGCTTACTCCTGGTTCTGTGCTCAGGGATCACCCTGATGGGGCTCATGGGACCATATAGGGTGCTGGCGATCAAACTAGGGTTGGCTGTGTGCAAGGCAAATGCCCTTTCTGCTGGACTATCACTCTGGCTCCTGTTTTCACCTCTTAAGGAGCTTACCATATTAACTCTTCTGAGAGCTAACACCAGGTGGACCATAAACAAAAGAGGTGCCATTTCAAAGAAGTGGTTATCTCTGCGTAAGAGATTATTCTTTTACGAGAAGTTGACTTTTGATATAAGTATTACTCAGATCATTTCTACATCACACTTGCACTGGTCATTGTCCTTGGTGTCTACTTTCCTTTCCAGAATGCCCTAACTAGTGTTTCTTAACTTTTCTTCAACCAGGGCCCCCTCTAACCTGTTTCCTTCATGTGCACCTCCAGCGCCCCCTTCCCATTAGTTGGCGCTCTAGGGACCATCTGACTCCTAGGTACTAAAAAACCTTTCTGGGATTGGTGTTTATTTTCATTAGTGTGATATGGCACTAATATGATATGCGGCTGGAGCGACAGCACAGCGGTAGAGTGTTTGCCTTGCACGCAGCCAACATGGCCACCCGAGTTTGATTCCTCCTCCCCTCTCGGAGAGCCCGGCAAGCTACCAAGAGTATCTCACCCACACGCAAAGCCTGGCAAGCTACCCGTGATGTATTCGATATGCCAAACACAGTAACAACAAGTCTCATGATGGAGACATTACTGGGCCCGCTCGAGCAAATTGATGAACAACGGGAGGATCGTGTGTGACCGACCGATTGTGATATGAAGGCAATATTTTTAAAAATTTTTTTTATTGAATCACCCTGAGATAGTTATTAAGCCTTCATGTTTGAGATTCATTCATACAATGATTGAACATCCATTCCTCCACCAGTGCATTTTCCAACCCTGTATCCGCCCCCTCCCACCGCCCCCCCCAGTCCTCACCCTGCCTTTATGGCAGACAATATGAAGGCAAAGACAATATTAAATCAGGAATTCAAATACTAATATCCATTGCGGGGGGTGAGGGAGGAAGGCCCAGGCAGTAGGAGGCCTGGGCCCATACATCTTTACGTGGAATTTGTGGATATAGATATATAGATCATAAAACATAGATCATGAAAAAGAACAAAGTCTTGTTCTTATTCAAGAACAGTCTTGCTGAGCCAATCATGGTCTCTGGTGACCCCATGTGGAGGAGTACACACCAACTCCGGGACTACAGGAGCATTGAGGGCCAAGGACACAATCTGCAGCTAGAAGAGGTCGACTGTGAGGCACTAAGGACTCCGCATTGCTCAAGTCTGGGGCTTAGAGGATAGCAGAGGGGACAGATTCTACTAACCCAAGGCTTGTTATTATTATTATCATTAGGTTTTGGACCACATCCGGCGGTGCTCAGCCGTTACTCCAGGCTCTGTATTCAGGAATTACTCTTGGCTATGCTTGGGGGAACCATAAGGATGCGGACATCAAACCTGGGGTGGCCGCGTGCAGGGTAAGCCCCTCACCCTCTGCACTGCCGCTCCGGCCCCGGAGGAGGGTGACTAATAAGTTCACCGTGGAGATGCAGAAACCGGGACCAGAAGGCGCCGCACGCAGGCTCCCGGGCGCACGATTCCGCTCTCGCCCCTCCCACCGCAGCTCGCCCCGCCCCCGCACTTCCGCATTCCGCCCCGCCCCGCCGCAGGCACTTCCGGTCTCTAGCGCAGGAAGCCGGGCTGGGGTCAGCGCTGCGGGGGCGCACGGAAGCCGTCTTTGAGCCGAGGGACCGTGGGGCCCGGGCTGCCGCAGGCCTTAATGCCTTGCTTCACCACCTGATATCGCGGGGAGCCGTTTCCCTTGTGAAGGTTGACGGTCCGAGCCAAGGAGACGTCACTTCCGGGGCATATGAGGTCAGGTGAAGGCCGGAAGTAGCTTCAGCCCTACTTGGTGGCTGGGAGAGTCTCGGGCTGCCTTGAGGGCAAGATTTATTTATTTTTATTTATTTATTTTAAAATTTTTATTAGTGAGACACCATGAGGTACAGTTGTAGACTTACAAATTTTGTGCTTGGGTTTCAATTATACAATGATCAAATGAGATTTATTTTTTAATTTATCATTATTTATGTTTTTTGAGTCACACCCAGAGATACTCAGGGGTTACTCCTGGCTCTGCACCCAGAAATTACTTCTGCCTGTGGGAGTACGTGGGATGCCAGGGATCGAACCCAAGTGGGCTGCTTGCAAGGCAAACGCCCTACCCGCTGTACTATAGCTCCAGCCCCGAGAGTGGGATTTAGCGAGTGGAAATAGGATAGTTAAATTTGCATATAAGATAAACGAAGATTTTTCTTTTTTCCTAGAGGTATGCCTTATACACTAGAATATTCTCTCCAGTTTTTTTTTAAATCTGGAAATTGGTACTTACATAAAAATTAAGATATTTATCAGCATTCTGATTTTACAGAAAGCTCTGCCCTATATCTTACTTGGCAGCTTTAACATTGAGCAGCCTTGACCCTGGACTTTGGTTTCCAGGAGCAAGTCTTGGGCATCTCTAGGGTTTTATCCTCCTGGGAGATAAATACAAATAAAGTTCGCCCAGCCTGTGAAAATCGGCTATTGCTAGATGCCAAGAGACTTTAGAGCAGTCCCAGGACCCCTGTGGCAAAAGCAAGGCCATTTTCAAAGACCTGAGGGCATTCGCCCTTTCACAAGCAGTATGGAGCAGGGTTGGTGTCTTAGGGCAAAACATGGAGGTTAGCTGACTGACGCTGGAAACTGCCAAGTTCTTGAGTGTCAGGTGAACAATGTCCTTGGGATTCATATTTTCTGTGGTGACTGTGGAGCTCCAGGAGCTCCAGGGAAGAGCATCAGGCAGTCTCCTCCACCTCTGGTTTGCACACGAGACCAGGGGAGATAGCTGATTTTTTTTTCTTTTTGGGTCACACCTGGCGATGCACAGGGGTTACTCCTGGCTCTGCACTCAGGAATTAACCCCGGTGGTGCTCAGGGGACCATATGAGATGCTGGGAATCGAACCCGAATTGGCCACATGCAAGGCAAACGCCCTACCCGCTGTGATATTGCTACAGCCCCAAGATAGCTGGTTTTGACAGCCTGTTCTGTTCTTCCTTGCTAATGTAACCAGCTGGCAGCAGGCAGGTGGGCATCTATTAAGATAGCTTTTAAGAGCTTTTGAGAGAAGAGCTCTTTCCCTTGTCCCTAACCTCTTCCACAGCCTTCTGACCTTTGCCCTAAGAGTTCTTTTAGCGTTTCCCCTGCCCAGTGGGTGAAATGATTATTTGGGCTCAACCGTGAGAACGTGGCTTTTCCTGTACCAGTCACATGGCTGTCCCAGAGGTAATGGTATGACCCAAGATGTAAGTTTGATCCAGAAGTCATGTTCTTGGCGGGGCTGAGCCTCTTGCTGGACTGGCCCTGCATGCTAATGGGTGATAGAGGGAAGGGGAAGGAAAAGAGGAAAAACGAATTGCCCGGGGAAAAACAGTATGTGCAGACAAATCCCTTTAAACATCCTGCTCTTCCCCCACCCCTTTGTTTTTCCTTTGCCTTTCTGAAACCTAATGCAAAGTACTCATCCATCCCTCTAATTAAGAAGATACCAAAGGAGGTTTTTCACTTTTCCTGGGCATACTGCTTCAGGAAACCCCATGCTCTGGCTTTTCTGCCCTTCCCATTACTTTCTACTGAATCTGCCATCTCTTCTTATCCTCTGCTTTTAGTCTTGACTGCCTGAGGACATGAACCCGTGCAGGCCTGAAGCTCTGAGACTCTTCAAGCTGTGTGTGCTGAGGATGTGCTCTTGCCCAGTGTGCCCAGCGGAGCCTCCAGCTTTCCCACAGACACCTCGCCCTCCCCTGACTCTCTAGCCCAGAGCCAGGAACTAATGTCATTAAGCAGACTGGAAGGCAGCAGGCTCAGGGGTCAGCTGCTGGGACTGCCTGCAGCCTCCTGCCAAGAAAGGCCAGGCAGGCGTGCCAGAAAGGCGTGTTACTCCTGGGTGAGGGCTCAGAAGTCCAGGGTGTAAGGGGGCAGGCAGGAGGCCTCTGATAGGAATTGTTCCCTCTGTGAATGATTAGCTTTCAGCCAGAGAGAGTGACCAAGAGGAGGGCCAGCTAATAGGACCTTTGGACTTGGAGCCGAGTGTCCAGCAGCCTGTGCATAGTCTGCCGAGGAGGAGGACATGGAGAGGGAGCAAGACACGGCTCCAAGGACTGAAGCCACATCTGGCAGCTGTGGGCCTCAGGAAATCTGTAGGGACCAGCAGATGGCCTGTCCTTGCAGCAGCAGCTGTGGGATCCCCCAGTCCTGAGCACTTGAGGTTTGGCTCTGTGGCGGGCTCCTGTCTGTGGCCTGGCTGCAGCCTTTTTCCCCTTGGGCAGCCATGGGTGCCGAGAGGTGCTGAGTGCAGTGGGGCATGGCTGCAGCCTTGCAGGTCCTGCCCTGCTTGGCTCGAATCCCTTTACGCTGGCAGTTCTGGGGGACCCCAGCGGTCCGATTAGCCAGCAGCATGGCTCTGGCGGACCAGGCACAACTGCTGTTTGCAAGCTCTGTGAGTGCCGTGCTGCCAGGCCCCATGCTGCACCGGGCACTGTCCTTCGACCCTGCTGGTGGGCAGCTGAAGGTGCGGGACCGGAGCTTTCAGCTGCAGCGAAACCTCTACCTGGTGGGCTTCGGCAAGGCGGTGCTAGGCATGGCGGCTGCAGCCGAGGAACTGCTGGGCCAGCATCTCGTGCAGGGTGTGATCAGCGTGCCCAAGGGGATCCGCGCTGCCCTGGAGAACGCTGGCAAACAGTAAGGAGCCATTGGGGGGCCACTCACTCTCCGGAGGTCGGTATGGAGGGGAAGCTGCTGGATTGGGGCCTGCCTCCCTCACTGGCTTCCTTTTTCTTCTGGGCTTGCTGTTAGTGCCCTCTCACCTGCATAGGGGGATTTATTTATTTATTTTGCAGGGCGGGGGGGCATCCCACCTCTTGCTTTTTTGTCCTCTTCCTCAGGGAGATGCTGCTGAAGCCGAACAGCCGTATCCAGGTATTTGAAGGTGCAGAGGACAACCTGCCCGACCGTGATGCTCTCCGGGCCGCACTGGCCATCCGGCAACTTGCTGAAGGCCTCACAGCTGATGACCTGCTCCTTGTGCTTATCTCAGGTGTGGCTGCCAGGTGTTGGGGGGCAGATCCCAAATCTCAGGTCTTCCAGAGGCCACTGAGTCAGCCCCCAGGATCACAGAGCAAGGGAGCCAGTGAGGAGTCTCAGCACTGACTCTTAGATGGCCCCTGGCTGTCCCCTGGCCTCCCTGAACTGTGGGGTCCTCTCCCCAACTGACAGCATTGGGGTGACCATTGTTGGACACTTAGGGGATGTTGAACTCGGGACCTCACGAGGCAAATGACATCATTGTTGCTACTGTCCATACCAGTGTCGGAGGTGACCTCTCACCAGAGTCGTCACAGATCTTGTACCAAGGTATTTGGGGTCCAGGGAAGGTTTAGGTTAACACCTGGAAGTGCTCAGGGGTCATTCCTGGCAGTGTTCCACAGACTCTATGCGATTGAGTTGGGGTCCGTCACAAGCAAGGCAAGTGCCTTAACCTCTGTGCTCTCTCTGGCCCACCATTTTTTTTTTTTTTTGCAGAAAAGTAGGGAGTGACCATTATGTGGAGCTTTGTTTAAAAACTGGGTATGAAGATTATGCAGACAATGATTATATTGAGCCCTCTTCTTCCACCTTGGCCTCCCCCTTTTTCCCAAACTCCTTAGGAGTAATTCTGCTGGGATCTGGATGACCCCAGGGCTGGCCACAATCTCAGTATCTGCTGTCTGCAGGTAGTCACTATATGTCCACACGGGGGCACCCCAACCCCATCTTTCCAGTCGGGACTTCTCTAAGTGGGGAAGTCTCTTTGCCTCATTTCTTCACTGTCTTTGCAGGCGGGGGCTCAGCTCTTTTGCCCGCACCCATCCCACCCATCACCCTGGAGGAGAAGCAGACACTCACCAAGCTGCTGGCAGCCCGCGGAGCCACCATCCAGGAGCTGAACACCATTCGGAAGGCCCTGTCCCAGCTCAAGGGCGGGGGACTGGCACAGGCCGCCTACCCTGCCCAGGTATTCGGGTGCTTCTGAGCTGGTGGAGCCAGGCCCCTGGGAGGCAGGAGCTGTGGACCTAGCATAGTCTTCAGCTTGGCAGGGCCTGGGAGAGAAGTCCCCAGGGCAGGCCGGAGGGGCCTCAGGGTGAGAACAGCACACCTGGGACTGCTCTATGAATGCCCTCGAGAGGCCTTAGAAAGAGGTGGTTGGAGGGCATGTGGCTGTTTTTTTTTTTTGGGGGGGGGGGGGAACGACAATTTATCCTCAGGGGCTCTCTGGTCAGGGCCAGGAGGAACTGAGCCAGGCCTCTGTGACCCCTCTCCAGGTGGTGAGCCTGATTCTGTCCGATGTGGTAGGGGACCCTTTGGAAGTGATCGCCAGTGGCCCCACCGTGGCCAGCGCCCACAATGTGCAGGATTGTCTGCACATCCTCAACCGCTACGGGCTACGTGCTTCCCTACCACGCTCAGTGAAGACGGTGCTGGCTCAGGCTGACTCCGACCCCCGGGGCCCGCACTCCTGTGGCCATGTCCTCAACGTGATCATTGGTTCCAACTCGCTGGCTCTGGCTGAGACCCAGCAGCAGGCCGAGGCCCTGGGGTACCGGGCAGTGGTGCTGACCACAGCCATGCAGGGTGATGTGAAGTGTGTGGCCCGGTTCTACAGGCTGCTGGCCTGCGTGGCTGGAGCCCGTCTCTCCACAGAGGCTGGGGCTGAAGCCTCCATGGAGGAGGAAGCAGAGCTCCGTGAGCTGGGGGCTGAGCTCCAGCTGCCAGACCTGCAGCTGAAGGACGCCCTGGAGGCCGTGGCTGAGGCTCGGGGGCCCATCTGCCTACTGGCTGGCGGCGAGCCCACGGTCCAGTTGCAGGGCTCAGGCAAGGGTGGCCGGAACCAGGAACTGGCCCTGCGGGTGGGAGCAGAGCTGGGGGGACGACCCCTGGGGCCTGTCGATGTGCTATTTCTGAGTGGGGGCACCGACGGGCGGGATGGCCCCACAGAGGCTGCTGGTGCTTGGGCTACACCGGAGCTGGCCAGCCAGGCTGCTGCAGAGGGCCTAGACGTGACCTCCTTCCTGGCTCACAATGACTCTTACACCTTCTTCTGCCGCTTCCAGGGCGGCACACACCTGCTGTGCACAGGGATGACCGGCACCAATGTCATGGACACCCACATCCTACTCCTGCGGCCACGGTGAAGCCTTAGGGGTTTCTTTCTTTGGGAGTCCAGAGGTTCAGGTCCTGGGGCAGCCAAGGGCATCAGCCGCCTTAGAGTCCCTCCTCCACTTAGCCCTTCCACATCCCACCCAGGGCCGCTGCTCCGTATTCACCACTTCAGGCCGACTAGCAGGCTCAGCTCTTCCTGTCCTGCTCTCCTGGCAGGGGTGCCTCTGAGGACCTTTGCTCTTGACCGTGTTCTCCCCTGGGCAGTTGTGCTACTGAGCTTGTTTTTCCTGCAGGGTAAGACAAGGACTGAAAATAAAAAGGGCCATGTGCTTTTCTAGGTTCTTGGTGCATCATTCCTTGGAGCAAAGACTGTGTGTGTGTGTGTGTGTTTGTGTGTGACAGTGTCTGTGTGTGACTGTGTGTGTGTGTGACTCTGTGTGTGTGTGTGATTGTGTCTGTGTGTGTGTGTTTGTGTACATGCGCACAAGTGCAGTGTTTGGACTGGATCCTGGGTGCCAGACCTGGAAGGGGCCCACCCCTCTGAGGGGCCCACTCTTTCCTTGTGTCATGTAATCAGGACTGGGGAGGGTTGAGCCTGGCTCCCAGGCAGGGGTGGGAGGACGCCTCTGGAAGTCAGGGTATGCAGCTCTGACACCCTTCAAACCCAAAAGTTGTTGACTAAGAGGGCAGCAAACCAGGTCGAAGGGCCAGAATGGCTGGTAGAAGCCCACTGGCAAAGGAGTGCCCAGTATCATCTCCTATGATACCCCTATCGTAGGAGAATGTGTCTCCACCCAGGGTTCCTCCAGGATGTCGTCCCTGTTGTGGGACGGCCCTTAGCCACAGAATGCACCTGCCGTGGCTGAGCTGCCATCTGCTTTTCTGGGGCTTCCCCCTGCTCACTGCTCAGGACATGGACCCTTTCCGCCTGCCAACCCCCCTTTCCCAGTCCTGGCAGCCCCATTCAGCCCTGCCTGTTCAGTGCCAGCAGATGCACTCTCCTTCATGCTGAGATGGTGGGCCAGAGCTGGGGGACCCCAACACCCTCTCCCCTACCCCCCATGCAGCTGGCCAGGGAGAGGATAATAGAGGAGAGCCAAGGAGGAGTGGCCTCCTTGACCAGGCTTCTAGTCTGCCTGCAGGGGGCCAGCCTCGTGCTTCTGTCCTCGGCCCCCCACGCTCAGTGTCCGAGCCCGCCGCTGGCCGCCCCCACCGTGCGCCACGGCTCCAATCCCTATATGAGTGAGCAGTAGAATCACATAGGAATAAAAAGCCATAGAGAACAGCGAGGCCTGGGGCTGCTCCTGCTGGCCCCCTGCGTCCCCAGCCGTCCCCTCCTCTCCGAGGACGCTGAGGGACTCTGGGCCAGGGCTGGCTTACCCGTCCCTCCTGCTTGGACTCTGGACAGCTCTGCTCGCAGTGGCCAGTAGGTGTGCTCACGCTGGCTGTCTGGAAACTGGAAGCGAAGCAAGCAAGCAAGCTAGACTCTCAGGCCCGGGAATGTGTGTGTGTGTGTGTGGGGGGAGTTGCACCCCTCAGGGCCCTAACGCCAGGGAAGAGTGCCCCTGCATGGCCATGTCTGTGTCATGGTTCGGCCTCCTCTGCCATCCTTTGGCTCCGTACTACCCCTGCCTCAGTCTTGCCCCTGAGAGCATGAGTGTCAGCCCCAGGGGTCAAGTTCAAGGCATGAGCAGGATTAGAGGGTTGGAAAAGGCTGCAGGATGGGGGACCATGCGTGTGCAGGGAGGGTGAGCATAATAAACACCACGGGGTCAGCACCCAGAGGGACAGCTCACACACCCAGGGTGGGCTGGGGCTTGGGAGTGACACGGGTCTGGTGGGAGGCTCCCTGTGCCTGCCACCTTGGCCCGGCCCAGTGCCTAAGTGTGTGTGGGAGACCAGGGGCCAGATCGGATCTGACTCTGACGTGGTCCTTCGGTTCCGGAGAGGGAGATGGGACGGGCTGGCTGTGATGTGTGTTTAATGTGGTCCGTATTTGTTTGCTCTCTTTGTGTTGCGCGTGGCCCGTGACGGGTATTCAGTCACGAACAGGGCTTGGCTCCTGTTGCTCCTGCCTCAGGTTCCCGTGGTCCTGTGCTCACATCTAATTTGCCCCCTGGGCTTTCTTCTGGTCCCGCTGGAGGCTCCCACTCCAGGGGGTCCCTGGCCTCCAGGCTGCTTTTCTGTTCTCACAGGTTCCTCCATTCTCTGCGCTTGGCACGAGAGCAGCTGGGCAGTGAGCCTGGACAGCCCCCAGGGGTCAGCAGATCCCTCTGACTCCAGGCTGGAGGGAGAGGACAGGGGGCTTCTCAGTCTGCATTGCAGGTTGGGCCTGCGATCAGGGTGCCCACCTGCTAGGGACCCCTGGGGCCCTCTGATTGCACCCTGGAGCCTGGTAAGCCCTGGCCCACAGAGGACTCAGCCAGAGCTGGGGAAGCCGCTCTAGCTTTTCTGCTGCCCGTTTCAAGGGCCTGGGGATCAGATACAGCACACACGTCTTTTCTAGGAGGCTGTAATGCAGGGTGCCAGCCCTCAGGGCTCTTTGTGTGTAAGAAGCTGTGAGCAGTTTCATGGTGGGCATGTGTATACCCGCTCATCCTACTCCCCGTCTCTGAGTGAGCCTCCATGAGGGTGCTGCTCCAGCCCAGGGCTGGCACACACGGCGGGATACACTCAGAGTGTTGGAGAGGGCTGGAGAGACAGTGGGAAAGGTTCTTGCCTTGCACACAGCCTACAGATTTTGATCCCCAGCACCATATATGGTTACCTGAACCCCTCTCAAGAGGAAGCCCTGAGCAGAGCTGGTTGTGGCCATGAAACAAAACAAACCCAAAAGTTGTTGACTAAGAGGGCAGCAAACCAGCTCGAAGAGCCAGAATGACTGGTAGAAGCCCACTGGCAAAGGGGTGCCCAGCAGTAGGGGCACACTTCCCTTTGCTCAGTGGCAAGCCTCGTAGGATTTGGGCTAGGAGCGTGAGCAGGAAGCTCTTTGGGGACTTCCTTAGAGCAGGGGTGTGGGGTGGAGGCATGCGAGGAGGAAAAGAGTGTTGTGTTGGGATAGAAGGGTGTCACTAGGCTTAAACCCTCCTCCCCTCCCCTCTGCAGCCCCCTCTCCACAGCCTTGGCCAACTCTCCACATCCACAGTGGAACAGGGCTGGGAACTCAGCTGCCCCACTCCTGGGGACGTGTTCCCGGCAGGGACACTGGGCTGCGGGGTCACCTCTGATGAGTACAGAGTGCCCTGTGGGTTCTCACCAGGGTGGCCAGTAGGGCGCCTCCCTGGAGCCTGTGGTGTCCTGGGTCCTTCTCTAGCCTCGCCCCCTCCCTTTTCCAGGTCCCTGCTATCTACAGAGGACTGGGCCTGGCTCCTCTCTCCAGGGAGGTGCCCAGCAGTTGCATGGGGGCCAGTGTGAGAAATGAGGGGGAGGCCCAGGGAAGGAGGGAAAGGGGAGGGACAGTGGCCTCTTCAAGGGAAAGTCCAGGAAGCTCTTGGCTCAGGAAGCTCTCCCAGGCAGGGCCGGGCTGGAGCCAGTGTGGCCTTGGTGCTGATCGAGGCGAGGAGGGAGCTCTGCCCTCTGGAACTGTTGACCCTGGCAGTGGCCTCTGAGCCTTTGAGGGGCTGGCAGTGCCCGAAGGTCATAGCCTTGGGGTCTGCTGGAGCTGGAGCCACCAGCCCCACGAGGAAGAGAGTTTCCTTCTCTAGCAGAAAAATGCCCACAGTCTGATGCCCTCCGGATCTGGGTCCTGTGGGAGGGATTGGGGGAGAACCACGGTACCCAGCCTGGCACCTCTAGGGGGTGACAGGACTCTGGGCATGCTGGGGGTTGGGGCTTGTCTAGGGCTGGGGGATGTGTCGCCACTTGAAGGGATGGGAAACTAGGACTTGGGCAGCTGCCCCCTGAGAAATAGTGCCGTGGAGGGCATGGACCGTGTTCTTAGGTGGGTGGTGGCCTCACCGGAAGGGGAATCTCAGGTCCCCCCTTTCTGGGGAGCCCTCATGATCCCACCCGCCCATACCCCGCCCCCAGCACAGGCTGCTTCTGACCCTGTAGAGGATAACTGGGCTGGGCTAGGCTGGGAGGGGCTGGGGGGACCACCTTGGTCTCACCACTCACTGCTCTGCTTCTGCTCCACTGCTGCCTCTACCCAAGCTGCTCCTTCGGAGAAGGCTGATGCCCAGATCCGAGGGGATGGCTCGGCCAGAGAAGCGGGGAGACAGGAGAGCTGGCCCCAAACAGGGGCCCTGCTAGCCCAGTCCTGGCGAGAGAGAGGGGACACCTGCTGGCCCCAAGGCAGCTTGAGGGAGCTGAAAACCCTGGTCCCAGCGGGCTCAGGTTGTCAGGAGCTGACCAGCCTGCCCAGGTGTCCCACTGGCAAAGTCCCCCCACTCTCTGCCGCCCCATTCTCCAGGCCTTCAGTAGAGCCACAATTCTGCCACACATGCCCTCCAGCTGAGAAGGGGAGGGGCTGCCCTGGTCCGCCCACTTCCACTCCTACTCAGCTACCCAGTTTAGGGGCCGCTCCCCTCCCTGCCCCACAGACACACTTGTGGCCCCTGATCTGTCTCTCCCTGCATTTATCCCAAGCAGCTCAGGTTACCCAGAAAGCAGATCGCAGGAAGCCCTCTGCCCTGCCCTGAATCTTTTTGGTAACTCGGGGAACCCGTTTCCTGGGGACCGTCTGGGGACCACTGGTCAGGGACTCCTACAGGAGGAAGTGCCCCTCCCCCCCACGTGGCTCTGGGATCTGGGGGTCAGTTGCTGAGGTGAAACGGGCCAGCCTCTCCCATGACCACACCCCCTCACCTCCGTGGCGGGAGTCTCTTCAGCTGCCCCCTGGCCAGTCACCAAGCCTCCCCCCAGGAACAGGCACTTGTAGGGTCACATCCTCGGGGGACAGCCCACCTCCCAGCCCCAGCCCAGTTAGAGGCCGGTTCCCGTGCAGCACTGGACCCCAGGCTTGGCCGGCACTCAGGGGCAGTGCGCCCCAGCAGTGTACCCCCCCTCCCGCGCCCTATGCAGCTGGTCCTCTGAGGGTCTCCAGGGGAAGCTTGGCATCGGGGCAGGGTCAGAGCTGGCCAGCCCGCCCCCCTCCAGCTGTGCCCCCACAGCCTGCGTGGGATCCCTGCTCCATGAGGGCATCTGAGCTGGTCCCTGACCGCGGTGCCCCATGCCCCGGCCAGAGCACTGGCTGCTTCCATCTGCACCCCCCTCCCCCAGCTGCCCCCCAGCTCCGCTGCCGCGCCTGGCGGTCCCCGATCCCGGTCCCCGCTGCTCACCTCCTCGGCGCTGTCTCCTCAGCAGAGGCTCTGCAGTGTGGGAACTGTCCCGAG